TATCCCCCATATATCACATGTTTCTCTTCAATTTGCAAAATGTCTGAAAAGAAAAGCCAGATGTAGTGCAGAATGCCTGTAATCTCCAGGAGGCTGAGCCAGGAGGATGGCAAATTTGCAACCAGCCTTGAGCTATGCAATGTGACCCTGGAAGGAGGAAGAGAGAAAGAGACAGAGAGAGAGAGAAAGCAAGGAGAGAGAAGAGAGATAATAGAGTCCAGTTCAACAAAAATTTATTATGGCTTTTATCAACTTGGCAACTATCATCAATCAGTGTATTTTGTTTATATTCACCAACCTTAGGGAAAAAATATTCTTTGCACACTGTCTTCAGATTTTTTGCATAATCTTTAGGGGGGAAACTGAGATATAAATGAGATATTGTTATAATATCTAGAATGCATTTTCCATCATAGCATGATTGAACATTCTTTAATTAAATGAAATACAATAAATATTTTCACAAAGCAATTTTCATTTTGTTACTTTCGTAATTAATATTATTAGAGTATGAAAGCCACATAGAGTATCTAAGAGCCGTCTTCCTCTTCCCTTCCTTTCTCATGCTTAAGTAGTTCTTATTCTTGACACAGAGAATTTAAAGGGAACGTATAAAATAGACCTTCTGACCAGTCCCAAAGTAAGATGTGAAAAAGATAAAGTCAGTGTTTTGTCCTTGAAGTTGCCATTTCTGAAAAGTTGTCCCTGTCCTTACCTCTTTCCCCGTCCCCATAGGAGTAATAAATAACACCTTGCACGTGCAGAGCAAGGAATTTTCACAAGATGCTCTGGCATTCCGAGAGAAGAAATAACATTTTAGATGAACCAAACCCAAAGCCAGGATATCATGAATGGCAATCCATCTGAACAAATGATAGGCAATGTGACCTTGAGCAAATTCTCTATGTTTAAGAAAAGAAGGGTGATTGTGTTTGAAAGCTGTGAAGGATGTGTGCTTTCCAGCCTGGCAGGTAACAGGCTGAAAGTCACTACTGCATTCCAACAAAGAACCCTACCAGAATAAGATCTGGACTGCTCCCTACTAAAGGCTAAGATTCAGGAGACAACAAGAGTTGTCAGGAAGGAATCAGTTTTAGTCAAGGGTCACCTGGAGGAAGATGAAGGAGATGTTATCCTCCAAGCTCCCTCATGGAGAATTCTAGGGTGCAGGGACTTTTATAAGGAAAGAAGAGGAGGCAAAGGGAGACTGAGCAGCAAGGCTATGTCTGAGCAGGGTCTTTATCTCACAAGGTATCCTTCTCCTTTTCCTCTTCTCCTCCGTCCACCTCCTCCTCCTCTTCATACTTCTTCTTTTCTCTAGCTAGAACACCAAAATCGACCTCGACTTCCTAGAGCTGGTTCCTGCAGTTTCTTAAAGCAGATGTTACTTTTCTCCAGCTTAAACCTCACAGCAGTTGACCTGCTTGTGCTACTCCATGTACAGAACGAAAGGCTAAGCGGGGGCATTACAACAGTCAGCGGATGACAGATTCCCGTAAGTCTGAAGGAAGATTATTTAGCAGTTAATATTTTAGGCCTTTAAGTGAGTTTTCCTTTTAGAATGTTGGGCAAAAAGGAGGCAAGTAAAAGGTGAGGAAGTGAAAGTTCCTCTTCCAGCGACATCTCCCAAATGGGTAGCCACTGATGCAGTAAGGAGCTGAACAAACTGAAAAATTGCCAACTGCTTTTGGATCCTATGGAGAGATGGGATCACAGTTCAAGCCCCTGCCTCTGAAACCAGGGTAACCAAAAAAGACTTGCAGAGACTTGCAGATAGATGTAGAGAATTATGATCTGCTTGGGCAGTGGGATTCGGTGTCAAAGTAGAGAAATCTAAAGTATAATGGATGAATGTCTGAATGCTCAGTGTGGATAAATCTGATACACAAAACACTCCAGAGAGATCTAGTTAATGGAGGACCTAAGAATTTTGTAAGTTTTACCTCCAGGTCCTAGTGCTCCCCTCTTTCAGCAGAAGGAAAGAGGAAAGAACCATTATAAAATATGCCAGAACATTCTGTCTTCTTTTTTCTTTTTTTTCTATTTCTGTGCAGTGCTGGGGATTGAACCCAGGGCCATGTGTGCTAGGCAAGCACTTTAATATGGATCTATACCCCCATCCTGTATTGTGACTTCCCAATAAGACTTACACTGAGGGGCTTAATAGAGCTTAACCTGGTGGGGTTTTGTCAGACCTAACACCAGCCCCTTTCCAGTCTTCCAAATGGAGGAAGGGAAATGGTCTAGTCCATAACTTGTCCTTTTAAAGGGAGGATTTTAAAAACTATAAAGCATGTATAAAGTGGAAGTATGTAGTAAGCCTCTTGTAGCTCTCTCTTTTGATTTTCACAGTATTAATTATTAATATGAATATGGTATAGTCCTCCTTTCTTAAAATGCACAAGAACATTCTGGTTAAAATTCCAACATTCCAGTTCTAAACTTTCCTTCAATTACAGTTCCTGGAGGTGCAGACTATCATTATTACCCACTTTGAGTGTACCCTCCAAAACTTTTTCTCTGTACTTTAATACTTATATGAACATATGTAAATCCATGGTAGGGCTTAACAGTAAGAGGTGCCTAATTTTCAATATCACAATAGGGGCAGGGGATATAGTTCAGCCACACACCACCTGCCTAGCATGTGTGAGCTTGATTCCTAGTACCCCCCCCAAAATCACAATAGATATTAACTATATTTCCATGGCAAGGTATATTGATTGTCCTTGCTCACTACAGTGGTAACTAGTCTTTTGTGACACAAATACACTTTATTCTGAAAATCTTTCTTCCTTTGCTGCCCATTTATGCTGTTTCTTTCCTGTATATTTCATCTTGATGCATTTGGACATCTTTGCATGTATCCCTTTGGCCATGTGCATATGTTCTTTTGCTTAGTGATGAAATGTAATTTTAATATCCTGGTGTCATTCTTCAATGTCACTGTACCAAGACATTCTTCCCATCAGCCAAAGATAAGACCCGAACATGCTAACCAATATTTGATGCTATCAAAAATTTAAGACAATCAAAGGGGTAGAAATGTTATTCTCATCCTTGTGTGCGCTCACTGTCTTATATGCTAGACCTATGTACTCATCATAGTATCTGGTCTCTATCCCTCTGCACTCCTTCTGGCCTAGGGGGATACGGTGATCTTTGTGGGTTTGGTGTTTGTTTGTTTTCAATGCCCTTCCCTATAGCTAAATGTTTTCTCAGGAAAGAATCAGGCATGTTAATGCAAATGTAAGTCAGTTAGCTACTGTTCTAATAGATGTTTGCATTTCAGGCCTCATCACTAACTGCTGAATAAAATACTGTGCCAGCAATTTAAAGAATCATATAAGAGAAGAATTATTTATTGGACTAGGAAGCTTTCTCATTTCCAGAAGTCACACTATCTATTAAAGGCCCTGGTCATGTTCCACTAGGAAGGGCTTGTGTGGAAAATTACAATATTCTGGTCAGAAAATACTTGTTTATGCTGATCACTACCCAGATCATCTCAGTGTAAGAGGCTTCTTCAAGTCGCAAATGTGCTAACCTCCATTCTGAAAGGCAATGTGGTATAGCTGGAGAGGGAAGATGAGATACTAGAATTTTGCAACAGAGCTCATTTATATTAACGGAACACCATCCAGACATGGTTGTATATTTATGGGTCAGAGCTGCCTTCCTCCGAGCTGTTGAAGATGGTCAGACATTTCAGCCATTCACCAGATACATTCTTGGAGATCTTTGAACCTGGAACTCAGTTTGCAGGTATCCAACCACAGATCATATCTCTCCAACCTCTCCAGTCCTTAATTTTCTTATCTCTTAAATGAAGTGAAGATATCATGACCAGCCTTACAGGGTGGTGTGAAATTAAAATGCAAGACCCCATATGAAAGCATCTTTTACTAACCCTTAATTAGTAAGAAGTTGAATTATTAAGTAAAACAAAACAATATTTTCTATTGCCTAAGTGCCAGATACACTTATCCACACAAAGCTCTTGTGAGATTAATATTTTTCCCATAGGAGAAGATGGCAGCTCAAAGAAATAGATTGAGTATCATGCTTAAGGTGAACATAGAGCTAGTTTAAAAAAAAAATTCACACAAATCTTTCTGGGTGTAAAAATTCAGATTATTTCTATCGTGTAATCTACCTTCATCATTCTACAGGATTCCAAGTACAGCAGGAATAACTGTATGTTACATAAATGCAAAAGTTGATGCTGTTTGCATGCAGAAGTTTGAATACCGCAAGAGTTCACCTCCTTTAAACATGCAGGTACCTAAGCCATAATAATCAAATTAGTCATAATGAATAATATTTCAAGGTTTCCTCCCAACAAGACAGCATTATAGGGGTAATGGACTGGAATTGCAACCTACCACATGGATGACAGCGCTGAATACGTAACCAGAAACTTGTTATTCCATGCAGTTTCCCCAGCCTGATGGCAGGATGCATTCTGGGGAGATGCGATAACAGCCCATTTTACATCTTCCTGTGTTGAAACCAACAAATCTTAGTTCTTCCAGAAGCACAGCCTTGCTTGGGGGTCAAATTGCAACCACTGATCTACAGCTGAGCTCTGACTTTAAAAAATTTCTTTTCTTCCTTTCATGCAACCTCTACCTATTTAGGTTGGGCTACTGGGTGACAAAACACAAAGGAAACCAAATATGGGGGATGACAGGAGCAGGTAATAATCTAGTATTTGGGGGATATCTGCTTTGAAGTAGAGGCTGAAAGAGAAGGATTTTATAAGGAACGCTTGTTACATAGCCAAGCGCCAGCAATGGCTGAGCATTAAGGGGCTGTGGCTGCTAATTCAGAGGTAAGCTAAGAACCATCCTCATAGCAGCAGTGATTGGATCATGCAAACCTAGAGGATTAGAGGGCGATTAGAGCCACAGACCAAAGAATCTGACTCTTTCTTATTCTTTGTCCATTTTTTCTTTTTTTACTTTTATTAGTATATGTTGTGGTACATAATGATTACACTCACTGTAAGGGATTGGTACATGCACATAATGTATCTCAGTTATCTTTTCCCCCTCCCTCACCCCCACTTCCTCATTTTATAGACCAGGAAACCGAAGTCTTCACAGGGCGCATGGCGGGGCTTTAAACTCAACTCCATGCTGAGGGGTCTCCACTCGGTGTTCTGTCTTCAGCCGCCCACTTCTCAATATCAGCTCCTCCCTGCTGGGTGCACTGCCGTGGTGGAGGCCAAAGCTTTATAAATCCTTTCTGTTTACTGCAGCAAAACAGAGAAAAGACACATCTTTCTTCTCCCAGAACGCTGAGCACAAGAGCATGCCCAGCTGTCGGGGTCAATTTACAGTGAAAATGTAATGTCACAAGAACGGATTAGATTAGGCAAGGAGAGGGGATTAAAGAGTTAATGGACTCCAAAGAGAGCTGTATGGGTGGGTTAGCTGGGGGCTTTGCACAATTATTAGGACACATGTTAAACAGTGATTTTTCTGTACACCTCAGATTTACTTTGTCCAACCCGTTTAGTAATGATGGGGAGGAAGAGGTTTTTGCAGACTTCGTGGCTTGAAATAGTTCAGAAAGGACATTTAAAGGAATAATTTAATTAGGAACGCAAGCAGGTTTCAAAAAAACAAGCAACAACAACAGGCCCTGTTCTTCCAGGAATTTTGACTCAGACTGCTGGACAGAAGGAAGTGTCTACCAGCACAGCCCCACCCCCCACCACACTTGCAGCCACAGGAAGCTGGGCTGAATCTTAGGGTTGTACAGACCGTGTGTCCCCGCTCAGTATTCCAGATTACCAGTATTCTTCTCACAGTCCTAATGACAGGCCAGGAGATCATTTTTATTGACACTGGGGAGTTAAAAATTGCAGTCAATTGCAAAATTCGCAAGGTTTATTTTGGAAGTCTCCCATACTTTCCAGATTCTTCTTTCTTTTTGGGGAGTGTCCTATCTGTCCTTCCCCAAGCCCTTAGGGCTCTCAGGCCTCCACCTCCCACTCAGTGCTGTCTTCTAGACAAACCCTATCTCTAAGCTCACGGAAATCACATTCCTCCTCCTCTCAGTATAGGAGATCTAAAATAAGGTATTTGAATCAAAGAATTTACAAGAAGGTAAATCACTATGTTTCTTTTACTGTCCAAGAATTAGTATTCAGGGGCTGGGGATTTAACTCAGTAGCACAGCACCTGCCTGGCAAGCGCAAGGTTGTGAGTTCCATTCCGGGTACCCAGTACAGGAAAAAAACAAACAAAAAAACAAAGAATTTGCACTCAAACAGATCCACTTACTTATCCTGCAGGAAATCTCTTAGAATATGGAAATGTTATTTTTGCACTAAGGCCCTAGGCTTCCTTGATACTCTGTTCATTTGTCCTTGCTAACTGAAGGGTTTTCATTGTATTCTCTCAGAATATCTTCTTTCTTCTATTCCACGCAACTGATTTTTCCCCCACTTCCCTTTTTTTTTTTTTTTTTTTTTAGTTTTTGGTTTTTCTCCGGTACCGGGAACCGAACTCACAACCTTGCGCTTGCCAGGCAGGCCCTTTGCCGCTGAGCTCAATCCCCAGCCCCTCCCCACTTCCCTTTTAACAAGTTCAATAAAAAAGCTAACAGTGAACTTTTTCTGGGTCTGAACTTTGTGCTAAACACCAGTCCTGTATTCCTCACTTCTTCCCACAGTCCTCTGCGGGCGGGTTATCAGTATTGCCCTGTCAGAGGAAACAGGCTCAGGTGCGTTAAGAAATCTGCCTGAGGTGCTGATAAGGAGCAGAGCCTTGAGTCACGGAAGTCGTGATGATTCCAGAGCCTACATTCTTGCACAAAAAAGCACCTGTTCTGGGTCAGAGGCCCCAGGGCTGAGCTGGGGCCCTGCCACTAAAGTAGTGACAATCGCTAAGGCTCTTAAACTTTCTAAAACTCCTCACCTATAATATAGGGAGATAATAAGATCATGCCAGGTGAGCATTGCATATGAAAAGTGATTTACAAAATCATGGCAAATTTGTATGGATATTTCTCACTGATAAGAAATATGGCATCAATCATGTTTAATCACCTCTACGGAAGAGAATTTCATTTTCATGTCCTTGTAAATTCTATACAAGATTGACGTGTAATAGATGATAGTATTCTCGCGCGCGCGCGCTCTCTCTCTCTCCCGCTCTCGCTCTCCCATTCACTCCTCAGGCTTTCAGTAAATATATGAATGATTGATCTTTGCTTAGAAAACAAAAGAGGAGAAGTGAAGGAAGGTAAAAGAAGAGGCATTTTGTTAGTTGAGAAATTGTTACTGGTAGGAAACAACGCTACTGACCTTTGTACATGATAACCAACCCTTAAGTAGCTTAGGAGTAACAAGATCTATTCGGACAACGTATTAAAATAAATGCAATTTTATGTTCTCAACAGATCAAGAGTTTCTTAACTTTTTAGGTTTTTCACTTTATTTAGACTTGTGCTTAACACCAGTTGCACTTGCTAAAGCTACCTTAGTCCTATTGCACTTTTGAACTCCATTTCTTGGTCATTTGCAAATCTTTTGTTTAAAAAAAAAAAAATGGTCTTGTGGAGAATGTGTTTGTTTAGTCCAGTTTTTTTCCCCACCCCCACCTCCTTCTATTCTCAGAATAGCCCTCCCCCTTGTACCTGGCATGTTTCCCAAGAAGTACTTCAGTTGCAAAGAAGGAAAATACTGACAGTGCATAATTTAAATGAGAGAGATGTGCCATGCCACATTTTCATTAAAATTACAGAAAAATCCAAGCTGTGTGGAGTTTAAGGGAGATCAGAATAGAGTCCAAAGTGCTATCATTACATTTTGTAGTGTTTTTTTTAGCTCAATAAAGCAGCTGTCCTATATTTGCAAAATAGCTTGGAAATTGTTGGTCGTGGAAAAGGAAAGATGCACATTGGGTTTTTTCTTTCTTCATTTCAGTTTAAAGTTGTCCATTAGTTACAAGAGCTAGAAAAAAATCACACTGTACAGTTTCCATCATTTCTATTTGCCTCTACATATTGAAGAATGTGTTGAAAAGATCTAAAAGTGAATTGGGACCGAGGTTTGCTAACAGATTAATAAATTGTTACTCAATGATCAACTATTCCACTAGTTGATGAGCTTAATAAAACAATGACTCTTGCTTATAATGGTGTTTCAGTAAGCAAAATTTTCTGCCAACTTACTCAAAACAGTGAAATAAAGATGTTACTCTGGAAAAAAAGAGAGAGAGAGAGACCTGAAATAAATGTGGAAAATAACAAATGCCAAAGCAAAGCAATACCAATTTTCTCAGTAATTGTAGGGTTCTGTCACTCTTGAGTGCAATTGTCCTTTAGAACTGGAGATTCATTATACTTTGGCTCCAGATCGTTATATTTTGGCTTCAATTCCAATCACAAAGTGTTCCTGTCATTAAGCAGGAGATTTTTGTCTAGGCACTTAATAACTTTACTATAAATGGCACACACCCATTTCGCTAGACTATCTTAGAATCTAGGCCCCAAAATTAAAGATATCAAATTAAAATAATCTTTGCAGTCTGGATAACCGACAGAAAATCAGTAAGAACATTTACTAACCTCAGAGAAAACTTGGAAGCTAAGTCATTACCTTTGTTCTGCAAATAAACTATATTTCTACGTCTTCCTGACTGATGATATATAATTCTGTATCTCTAAACACAATATCCTGGTAAGTCCATCTGCAACCTGCCTATATAAATGGTGTTTTTCACTCTACCATAGACCTAGAATTTAATTACACCAAAACAGCCTATATATTATGTTTCTAAGTTTTCACTTTAAATGTTGTATTTTGCTATACAAATAACACATGAACATGTTTCTGTGAAAAGAATAAACAGTACAGAAGGTACTGAATAAAAGTGAACATCTATTCATGTTTCCAGTTTGTATGTAACTCAGAAGATATCTGCTGATGCTTCCAGATCTTTCATTTTGTAGATAGGTTTTAAAATATCTATGCTACATAATCTCAGTGTTTTTGTTTTGTTCCATAAATAGAATCCTAATAAAAATTTTCTTTTCTTTTTATAATCTCAACTTTTTACTGTCAATGCAGTTATATGGAAGACTATAAGACACACATATGCAGTGTAGTGAATTTCATGCTGGTGTACGCTTAACATGACTAGGCTCCTTTATATGGCTCTGGATGACCTCGCTCTCCTGGATTTAGCACTCAATGCATAGTAATTCTTGGTTCTGCCTGTTTTAAATTCTTTAAGTCACTTTAATTGTAGTTCCCTTCCAGCTCTTTCTCATTTTTTTATCACTTCAATTTTTTAATTAAAGTGAAACATTTGCTAAGTGTGGTGGCACATGCCTATAACCCCAGCACTCTGGAAGCTGAGGCAGGAGGATCACTGTGAGTTAGAGGTCAGCCTAGGTTACATACTGAGTTCTAAGCCAACCTGGACTACATAGTGAGATTTCATCTCAAAAAAACAAAAACAAAAAACAAACAAACAAACAAACAAAAAAAACCAGTGAATCATTCAATCATTTGTCCTGAACAGATATTACAGTCTGGATTTTACTTATGGCATGTCCTTAGTGTTTCCCAGCATATTCTTCCATTCTCTGTAGTAGATACACTGGTAGTTATTAGAGAGGCTTACTCAGCTTGCATGTCAAATGTATGCATGCAGATACGTGTACACATACATGTTCAGCATCCTTCATGGGTAATATATCAAGATGTCTCTCTTGCAATTAATTTTTTTTTATTTTATATGTCTTAAAAACTCCGGGCTGCCCCTTATGTACAGAGCTTTGTGGATACACATGAGAATTTTGTAGGATAATGAAGTCTTTTGTTCTTTTTTCTTCTTCGTACTTTATCAAAAGACCCTAATTTCATGAACAGGGGAAGCAGCGATGGAAGGTCGTGTGGTATAGTCCACTCACTCCGCTTCCCAGCATGGGAACGAGATCTGAGCCACTGGAGCTGTCTCCACAACGGGATGTGCACCTACCAGACCCTCTTCAAAAACATCCTCTTATGAGAATTTCTGTTTCTGTTTGTTATTTTCTATGTATGTCTGTATTAGAAAAATGTACAGGAAACAATTTCTAAATGCACATGCGTGTGAACTCAAGCTATTTCATCACTAAGGATGTTCGGAGAGAAAAAAGTTTACCTGAGACCCTTACTTGGGTATTTAGCTTAGCTCTTGCAAAGCTGACTGCTGAATATTTGCACCTTGGTGATTTGTCATCAACTCAAACACAACCTGTAAAATAAAATAAAAAATAATTTTAAAAAGCAATCATCACTGTTTCCTCTCAAGGTCCCGTTTCTCTCCTTGATGTCTGTTTCCATGAATGGCATCAGCAGCATTCTCCTGGCCCAGAAACCTTAAATCTTCTGTTTGCTCCACCTCCTGTGTCAGTCACTTCCAGAGCTTTCTTATCGGCTTCCTCCTTTCCCCCTCAGGGCCATCGCTCTCCCGCCTTTTGGGGGAACCATTTAAGGACCCCTACAATAAGTCTAATTGGCCCCCACTCATTCGCTCTCTTTTTCAGTGGACAGATCTTAAAAGATGAATCTTTCTAAGTTACAGTTCTGATCCTACCATAAACCTGTTGCAACTCTGTTCTCTGATTACGAACTGCTAACTAGAAAATGTTGAAAGTACTCATACATATGGGATCCCAGAGCCTTTCCCCGCCTGCTCCCCACTCTTCCTCCTTCTGCAGCTCTCCTCCTTTTCCATGCCACTCCTGGCCAACTGAGTCCTCACTCTGTGTCTGACAGGAGGTGGACATAGTACAGATGCCACTTAATTCTCACCATACTTTCTGAGGGAGATGTCTGCGCTTCATTGTAATTAAAGATTCTGGAACCAGAATGCCTGGATTTCAATCCATCTTACCAACCGTGTGACAAATGACTTGTCCAGCAGGTCTTGCCTCAGTTTTCTCATATGCAAAGTTGCTCAATAAATGTTACTCTGCTGGTTCTTTGTTTTTTATACTAAACAGTCCCATTTTCCAGAAAAGAACATTAAAGCTCATAGAGGTTCAGTCAGTTGCCCTGTACACACAGCTGAGTATAGGAACAGGCATTTAAAAAGAGAGAGATTTATTCTATCTGAAGAGAAACCAGAGTGTAGGAACAAGGATTTAACAAGCCCACATGTCTAACTCCAAACCCTTATTCCTGGAAACAATCGTTCCAGCCTCTGGCTTCCAGACCCATCTCTCCTGCTTTCTACAGATGCGTGCTCAACGTTCTAGTGAAGTCAGGTCATTCACAGTTCTTCATGCTGTTTGAGCTTATCCATTTCTTTCTTTCCTTTTCATACATTACTTTTCCTCTTGAAATACTTCTATTTGAAATACATTTCATACCTCTCCTTCTTCCTCAGTGGTGATCTCAGCCACTTGAATTCTACCCAGTGCTATGAAAGATCACCTTCCTTGTGACACCTTCCATCAACTTCTTCTGTGAAACAGCCCCTGGGGTCTTCTTCTGGCTGGATGGTCATAGCTTCTGTGGTTCTTATTTTACGTGCCTTTTACAGTAGACATGTATGCATCGCTAGCAAAAACTCAGACATTCTGTTCAAAAGTCCCCCTGAGATCGTCTTGCCTAATGACCCTTTTCAGAACTCCAGGGTTGAAGGAATGTTTCAGGACTACCAGAGGCAACTGAGAAAGGCTGAGTGGGGGTCCCTTCACCTTACACACACCCACACCCCTTCACACAGGGTGTCCTTTTTTATTATAGAAGGATAAATGTCTAAACACATTTCCATAATAAGTTATTGTCTTGTCTTTCCCACTAGATGTCCAATATCTTGTGGAAGGGTGAATGTTGTGGCTAGATGTCTCTAGCAGTAACCAGATCAAAGATAGACAGAATAGTCATTTATTTGTGGTAGGTCCACAGAGAGAAGTCCTGCTCAGCCCTTTAACTTATTCTGTCTGAAATAGCCTTTCAACAATCATATGAAGTATGCATTCTTTCCATTTTGAAGGTCCTAAAATGGAGGGCAACTTCTCTAAAGTTAGAAATCTGTCAAAGTTCATATAGCTAGTGAGTGACAGAAAAAGACATCATGTCTGGATCTGCCTGGATCTGATTCTGAAGCCGGATGGACCAAGAGTCCATTCTCTGTCTACCTCTAACTAGCTCTGTGATCTGGCAAATTATTTAATCTTCCTCAATTTGACTTCTTATAATAAGCATAGCCATGGGTCTAAGCACAGTTTCTAGTCTGAGATATGTATGGTATACCAGATGCCTGGCTTTTCAGCAAAGTTGGCGAATGTTTTCACTGCACTCTACTATCTACCCTGACATCTTCCAGGGGAAACCTCTAAGTTTCCTAACCTGTGCCTCCTCTTCAGCAATATGTACTAAAAAGCAGCACTCTGAGACTTTGGCCAGGGGCCCTGTGATTTTAAACTATTCAGAAAAGAGGAAAAATTCAAATGCCTAACATGAACCAGTGATACAGCAAGTTGTTTTATTGCCTGGTGCTACAGTTTGTATTTATAGTTACCAAAATTCTTATTTTGAAACCTAGCCCCTTACATAATTTTATTAAGTAGAAGGGGTTTGGGGAAGTTCTTCAGTGTGGAGGGTAGAGCCCTCTTAAAACTTGATCCTAGAGGAATCTTGTGATGGGCTAACTACTATACAGTTTTATCATAGATTATGCATTCATTGATGTTTAATTATATCTTATCACTTATTAGCATACATATTGTTTGTAATTCTTGCTTATTATTGGGTGTCTACTAGCTCCATTTTTGAGCCATTAGTAGTGGTTATTTGTTCCACCTATCCCAAAAAGAGCATGCCGATGGGATGAAAGAATGGACCAAGAGATTTATTCTGCAAGAGAGTTTCGTGTAAGTTTTCTTTCTGTCTGGAATTCCCCTTCTAGGAACTGGATTCTGTTCTTATCTGAGAACCCAGGCAAAATAATTGGTTTCTTTTATCAGCCTTTGCAGAGAATGTGTTAATTAAAAAAATGGATTGACCACTGGATGTACGATGTCTATAATGCTAGAACACTGCCATATTGCGGGAGGGCATTTAATAAGTATCACTTTATGATTGCTTAATGACTTGTAGATAGCTGTTCATATGTCACCATTACCTTCCTTATCGCATTTTCTTTAACTGTCACCACTGGTTTTTGCACACTCTATTCATATGCCCCGTAACTGAATTTAACATAATAGACTACATCAAAAATATTTCTAGATTACTTTCTCTTTTGCCACTCAGTGCAGAGATATGAATTAATGATTATTGGAAAAAACAGAGCTTCACATCCAATGAAATGTTGCTTTTGTGTGGGAAAGCAGTTTTTGGCAAAGAAACCATTATCCCAATACACAAATATTTTTGAGTTACCCTTCAAATACCTAACCTGATCATTTCCAGTGATTTTCAGACTGGCTTTTCCCCCTAGCCTATTACAACACTACATGCCCATAGTTTCTCCTTCCCATGCAGAAGTTCCAGCAATGAACAGGATGTAGTCTGAGAATTAAGACTTAATGTTTTCTTTTAGCTATGCCTATTTTAAAGCTGTGGAAAACAGACCCAGTTCAAGGGGGCAGATGACAAAAGCACACATCTTAAAAAGCTCATACTTAGTTATTTGATGCATCTAATTTGTGTCAGCACCCTAAAAAGTAATAATGTGCTGTCCTTCGTACACTCGACCTACTATTACCTGCTTGTTTTCCAAACTGTTAATAGGCTGCACTGAGTAATCTGCTCTCTCTTGGTGACCCAGGAAAACTTGTGGAGGTTGAAGGTACAAGCTGTGACTCAGAGGCAGTTATTCTCTGGGTAAAGCTCATAAAACCTGCAACCTTAGCCTTACTAGTGCTGTCCTCTCAGCAAATGTGTTAACACCTCCCAAAGTAAATAGATGATTTGCATGAAGCAGCGTCCACATTGAACTTTCAAGTTACTTCTGCTTGTCACAAGAGAAGTATCCTCCATTGAAAATTTATAGAACTTTCAGTAGTTCTTATAAGCAACCTTTTCCAGGTTTTAGCAGAAAAGCAGGTCTTTGAAAAATGTCAGCTATAAAATTCAAAAGAATCTGGCAAAGACCAAACAGAAAGCATTGATGTTCAGAGAGAGATAGGTGTCGTACTCTGTTTCTTTATATTTGTAATCAACAGTAATAAATTTGATCAAAAATGCTGCGTGGGGAATCCATTGCAGGGTGGACATGGTGCAATTTAATGATAAATAAAACAGTTCGATCTTGTCAGTCACATAGACTAGCAGGGTGGCAAAGGAAAAGCAGCAATTTTCTATTAGAGGCAGAGTTCAGAGTGGAAGGTATCCTAAAATACGAGCAAATCATCAGGGGTTTTTCAGTCAGAAAAGTGTTTTTTGTTCCTTTTGACTTGCATATTTTTACTGCATTATTTTATCCACCATGTTGAATTCTGTGCTTCCTAAAACAACGTGCAACTCCTCTTTTGCCATATTACCACAAAAGTTTAGAAAATAAATATTTAAACTTAAACATTTTAGATGTCTCTAGAATTTTCATCACCATTCTTTTATATATCATTGCCATGTGATATCACCTTTGTAGCAATGGAAAAAATTAAGGCAGAATGAAGGAAAATGCAACTTGCTAGTAGTAGTAGAACCCAAACAATATTCCAGGCACTGGATTCCTAGCTTAATAGTCTCTTCATTCGGCTTCAAGTCTTATACATTTTGCTTTTTTTTCGAGGAGGGGGAGGTAAGGGGTAAGTACATAGTTGTACTTGGATTACAAGATTTTGGTCATCCAGGAAATTGTATCATTATAACAATTTTATGTGATGAAAGCTTTTTAAGAAGTGAATGTAAAGAATCCTTAACTATTCCTTGGAAAAAGTATCTACACACACAACATTTAAACCATAGAAAATACAGTGGAAAAAGTTGTTCTGAGTCAATGACATGATTTTCAAAGGCTAAATAATCAACTATAGCATGTAGTCAAATTTTTTTAAAAAGTTATCTTACCTAACCTATATATGCAACTAATCTCACTGATCTGTCTCCACTTGTTAAAAACTGTCTAAATACATTTAGTTATTCATGGGTTGATTGTACATCCCAGTTTTCCTGAGAGAGTCCCAGGATATACCAATTTGCCTGCTGTAATCAATAAAAGTATCTCCTTTCACTGAATTTTTTGTCACTGAATTTCAAAAATAAATGATATATTCACTGTAGCTAGTTACCATATTCTGTTCAAATGCATTGAAAACAACCAGATCATGCCCCCTCGTAATACACCTCCACCCCACTACATATTTTCTTTTAGTCTGTATATAATTTTGAATGCCTATCAGATAGTTATTACTTAATTGTGATAAAGTACAGGAGAAAATTACACAAGAATGCAGTCTGCTTAAACACTTTTCAAGTAATGGAGAAAAAATTACTTCCATGCCATTTGGCAAGAGTTCACTGGTCCAGGTCTAACCAATCATTGTAAGTTCCTTGTTTTGTTAAATTAGATCTAACTGATTTCAAGAGGGCAAGAGCAGGTGGGGACAATTGTGACCATTTGGTCTTCCTATTAAATCTCCCAGTTGTAGGGTACGGTTATTTGCTGGCATTTGCTGTTAAAATCAAGTTTAGAATCTTGAAAATGAAAGAGAATATACCCTTTACGAATCATCTCTTTACTCTCATATGAC